GTGGCACAAAGCAATGTTCTGGGAAGTTCACTCTCTCTCAGGTGTTTAGAATCTATGAGTAAGTAGATACATAGATAGACACTCAAGCTGAAGAAAGGTGGGAAGATAAATGGGATTATACTCACAAATACATAGAGGTTTGACGGAGAATATTTCTACATATGTATCTATATATGCTACAAATATATCCATGAACATAGTGGTACATACAGGGAGAAAAGTTATGAACATTTCTTAGTCATAACCAAGCACCTTAAGGGAATGAGTCACTGGGTATTGGGGTTCAGGACCATAGTCTCAGGGGACACTAAGGTCAATTGGCATAACATAGTCCATAAAGACATCCTACACTGGTGGGTAGCAACCAGAGTCTTAAAAGCTTGTGAGTGGCTATCTAAGGTGCAATTCCTGGTCTCTCCCTGTCCTGAGCAAAGACTAGTGAAGAAAATCAAAGATACAAGGAAAAAAATAGTCCAAAGGACTAATGGACCATGTGAACCCTAGCCTCCACAACAACCCTGATACCAGAGAAACCAGAGGGTGCCAGGCTACCACTGTTGATCCCTCTGAAAGGTATTATATAGTAGGAGGTCCCAGATAGAGTGGGAGGAAAGCGTGGAATAAAACTCAAAATCATAAAAAGACCTGGCATACTGGTCTGATATGGACTGGTGGAACCCCTGAGACAATGGCCCTTAGACACCCTTCAAGCCTGGAAGTGAACTCACCACTGTGGCTCAACTTTCAAACAAATAATAGATAGGCCTATAAGGTGAACAATGACACCAGGGAAGTACATACTCATTAGAACAATCAACAATAAGAGATCAAAAGGGCAGCATTTGCCCAGGTATCAAACTAAGAAGGCAGGAAGGGATAGGAAAGAAGGACAAAGGGACATGGTAAACAGAGAGGAGGTGGGAAGAGTGCTGTTACATGGTGGGGATGCAATGAATCTCACAAAACAAAAAGTGTATGAACTGTTGAGTGGAAAACCAATTTGCTCTGTAAACTTTCACCTAAATTACAATGAAAAAGACACCCACACCCAAAAAAACTAGTTTTCAGAATATATAAAGAATTCCTATTACTGAATAATTAAAAGACAAATTTAAAAATAGACAAAAGATTTGAATAGACACTTCATAAAAAGAACATATGGTCAGTAAGCACATTAAAAAGTGTTCAACATCACTATTCAGCAGGGAAATGCATATTAAAACCATAATGACATACTATTACACACCCACCAAAATGACTGGAATTAAAAAAAAAAAAAAAAAAAAAACTTAAAATATCAGATGTAGGCAAAGATTTGAAACAACTAGAACTTTTACATATTGTTAGTGGAAATACACAATCACTTTGGGAAAAGGTCTGACAATGTCTTAAAAAATTAAACTTACATCTATCCTATAAATTAGCAATCCCACCCCTAGGTATTTACCCAAGAAATTAAAATATATTTTCACAAAAAAGACTTACACAAATATAAAACCAAAACCAAATGCACTGCCATTGAGTCAGATCCAATTCATAGCGACCCCTCCTTGGGTTTCTGAGGCAGTATCACTATGAAAGTAGACTGCCCAACCTTCCTTCTGAGGAGTGGTTGGTGGGTTTGAACCACCAGCCTTCTGGTTAGCAGTCAAATGCCTCAGGCACTATGCTACCAGAGCTTCTACACAAATATAAGTGGTCCCTTTATTCATGAAAGCCCCAAACTGGAAATGACCCAGTCTCCATCAGTGGGATAATAGATAAACAAACTGTAATACAGTCTTACAATGGAATATTATTCAGCAGTAAAAAGGAAAAATGTGGATTAATCTAAAAAATATTATGCTGCATGTAAAGAACCTTTGTATTAAAAGACTATGTAGTATATAATTCCATTTATATGAAGTTCCTGAATAGGCAAAAGTAATCTAAGATAGAAAAAAAGTCAGAACAGTGGTTGCCTCTAGAAATGTGGAGGTGGGAATTTGCTTGGAAAAACCTGAGGGAATTTTATGGAGTGACAGCAATATTCTGTATCTTCATAAAGATTTTTGTTACACAGGAGTATTCATTGGTCAAAAGTCAAGAAATGTATACAACATTTGTGTGTGTCAGTGTATGTAAATTTTACTTGAAAAGAAAAAAGTAAATAAAGATTGAATTCTGATTAACGAGAAGCATGATGAAGTATATAGGGAGAAATACACTCAATTCTATAACTTACTTTGAAATGAATCAAATTGATGGGTGGATGGAAGGATGGATAGGTGAACAGGTGTGTGATAAAACAAATGGAATAAAATGCTAATGGTAGAGTCTAAGTGGTGAGTATGTATATATGTTTACAGTAAAAAATTCTTTCAACTTTTCTGGATATTTAAAAATTTATGATGAAATATTGGGAAAAATAAAAACAACTGGAGAAAAAAATAAAAGAGCCTGATGTCCATAGCCAATAGACATTTATAGTGTCAATCAACAAAGAATTATAGCAGCATCCCTATTTCTTGGTACTGGAGAAGTCTTATTCAATTCATATCCAACTGGCAGTTAATCTACTCCCTTAAATATTATGAAACCCTCCTTGTGAGGCAATGGGCTTCAGAGTTAGCTGACTGTGAAGCAGACACATATAAGCTGATCAGAAAGCACTCAATGAGACAGTAGAGAGCTGCAGTAACATGCCAACAGAGAGAGATTGTAAGAGGCTGACAGCATTGTACAGCACATAGTATTTCCATTTAGTAAGGGCATTTACTGTATCCTCACAGTAATCTTGTAAAACAGAAGATTCCAGAAATATCTGTGTGGTGGTTATGTTTGTGTATCAACTTGGCTAGGCCTGATTGAGTGGCTGGGCAGCTGGTGGTAGTTATTCCCCATGATGAGATTGCCAGTCAATTCCATGGTGGGATCTACCACAAGCAGCTGAGTAGCTGCCTTTGGGATGTGGTCTGCTTCCCATATATAAAGGCAGCTTTGGAAATGGTCTCTAGGTTGTGGCATGCTTGGACCCTGCATGTAGCTGTGTCGTTGTTCAGCAGTCTGCCAGCCTTGGGACTTACAATGGACTTGAATTAATGGCCTGCCATGTGTTTGGTAACATTGAGACTGTGCCATTTTATTTGTCGATGTTGGGCTTGTGAGCCTCAGCAGCCAGTAGCTGCCTGAGTGAAGACATGCCTCTGGCTTCAGTGGGCCGGGAGCAAGAGGCAGAGGCAGAAGCCCAAGGTCAAGGGGCTTTCGCACAGCCCCTCAAGCCTGGCACTTTAAACTCGGACTTCTAGCCTCCTGAACTGTAAGAGAATAAACTCTTGTTTGATAAGGCTGTCCCATTTGTGGTATATTCCTGTCAGAGCGACACTAGGTAACCAGAACACATCTGTAAAATGCCAGGCTCAGGACAACAAAACTCCTCATAGAAGGTGGGCCCTGGACCTTCAAAAGAGTTCTACCAAAATGTTGGCCACCAGATTATTCTGGACCTGCTGAGTGTTTCAACATTCCACAGACACATCATGAATGTTTCCAGCATTGCTGGAATATACTTAAGCATTGCTTAATCTTACCTACTTTGTATTCTGAACTCCAACTTTATTCTAAATTCTTGGCTCTGAAGGCTTAATCTGATCCTATTTCTGGTATTTTGAAGTCAGAATTACTATTTGTCTCCAGGATGTGTGACTCAACTTTTCTTAAAGGATTTTGGCTTTGACTCACCTGCCTGGCTCTTTCTATCTAAACTTCCTAGGATAAGACCCCACCTATTTTGATCTCTAGAACCTAACTCCTGAAACCAGTTAGAAGAGTCCTACCATACCTAACCTTCATAAGGGGAAGATTTGGATACCTGTTAGCTCCCTGGTCCTTTGGCCTTGCTTTCTCATCTAACTCTCATGGCTTTATTTTTATATTGACAACTGAGACCTTGGTTATCCCTATCCTCATGAAAATTTGCATTCTTCAGTTCTTGATGATGTTCTTACTACTTACTTCTCAGTATCTAACCTTGGCTAGTTTCTTATTAATGGTTTTGCTCCTGGTTTCTCAGCATTGTCAGATAGGAGAAACTTGGCTTCAAAAAATCAGACAATGGGCAAAGAGGGAAAATTAATATTATTAAATCTGATTCAGAAGAAACAGATATTTAGAGAGATCTAATAATTTTCCTATGGTTCATGGGAAGTGACCTGTAGATACATAATCTGAACTCCTGATTCTGATTCCACTATTCCTTTTGGCTTTTTAGAAAGTACCATAATCATAATAAGAATTATAGTAATTAATATCTACCATCATAATTTAAAATAATTATAATTAAATTGAGTATCTATCTCTGCACTCTCATTTAAACCTCACCACAATCCTATAAAGCAACTTAATGCTTGGTGCAGGGTTATCTCAACAGATACCTAAAAAACCAAATCCACTGCCATTTAGTCAATTTCAACTCAGAATGAGCCCCACTGGGTTTCCGAGGCAGTAAATCTTGACAGAAGTAGATTGCCTGGTCTTCCTCCCATGGAGTGGATGGTGGGTTTGAATCACCAGTCTTCTGGTTAGCAATCAAATGTCTTAGGCACTGCACCACCGTATCACTAGTAAATGAACCGTTTAGTGAAAACTTTCACAGTACCTATTATCTTTATTTACAGATGAGAAAAACTAAGGCTCAGACTTTACCAAGATCACAAAACTGGATGGAGATTTGAAACCAGATCCCAGATCTACCTGATTGCAGAATTTTTTCAACCATTTCACAGAACACTTTTTGACCAAACATAAAAAAATAAGGCATCAAATATCACCACAGAAATCATCTTAAGGAAGTTCTCAATTACTATATAATATTTTTACTATAGAAGCTATAGTAGAGATGAATTAGGTTCCCTGTTAATAGAATATAGAAATTATTTTTATAGCTTTCTCAAAAGCAGATATAAACACATTCTAATATAAAATTCAAAAGGAAACTGGGATACTCCAATAACGGCTCTAACCTGATTTTGGAAAGTAATTCTCCTCTATCTGCACAGTCCACACTGACTTGTCGAATAAGTTCATGAAATACTGTATTGTAAATGGTCTGTTCCTTCTTCAACATATGTAGTAGTTTGTGCATCTGGCAGAAAATAAGATAACCAGTAACAACTGTATCAGTAAAAGCCATTTTAGGAATTAAGTATACTGAAAGTGAGTAAGTTTTAGAAACATCTTGATTGATTTATTTCACTAGCATTTTCTTTTATAGATATGTATATATATATATATTTATATATGAGTAATACATGATTTTTAAAAATCTATGTTTAATCATACACTTAATAGGAGCTCTGGTACCATAATGCCTAAGGCGCTTGACTGCTAACCAGAAGGCCGGCGGTTCAAACCCACCAGCCACTCCTCAGAAGGAAGGTTGGGCAATCCTACTTCCGTAGTGATACTGCCTCGGAAACCCAAGGAGGGGTCGCTATGAGTCGGGGCCAACTCGACGGCAAACAACAACAACAACAACAATTTCTACAATACACTGAAAATGCCACAATAACCCTTTTGTGGTATATCTATCAAAAATGCAAAATCTGAATTTAATCAGGAGAGTAAATTAGACAAATCCAAATTTAAGAACATTCTACAGAATAATTGGCCTGTGCTCTTTAAGATACCAAGGTCAAGAAAAACAAAGAAAGGGTGAGGAGTTGTTTCAGATTAAAGTTTTCAAAAGGACATGACAACTAAAAGTATTGTGCAATCCTGGGGTCTTGGACTAGGGGAAAAAAGTAGCTATAAAGACATCATAGGGACAATTGATGAAGTTTGACATTTGAATATACATTATAGTAGAAAATACTAATGTAACAATGTTAAATTTCCTGATTTTGATAACTGTATTATGGATATGTAAGAGAATGTCTTTCTTCTTCAGGAATACACACTATTTGAAATAGTTGTCTGTGAAGGGCACGATGTCTCC